GTTAGACAGCAAAAATACTGAGCATAGAATTGATAAGTGCTTATCAATAACAGATGTATTTTTTTTTCTCACCCGCAACTGTGGTAATTGTTAACGCTGAATAACATATTCTAATTTTCTTTTTTGTCTTATAAAGATTTTTAAAAATGCTACACACTTTTTTTGTCTACTGAAAAATTCATCATTTGTAATGCAGTTTTTTCTAACACTTATCTCATGTTTAGGTCATCATCAGAATTGGTTTATCCGAATCCTTATTGTTTTTGCATTAAAAATTGCTGCATTATTGTTATGTGCTATTGCCTTTTACGAAGTCTATATCTTTAACTTATGTCGGCGATATTTTGCAAATATAAAAGACATTGACTTGGCTTTAGATAAGGAGGAAACACATGGACTAAAAATTCAGGGAGATAATTGAAAACAGATTTTACTCACGAATACAATCTGAATAATCGGTAGTATTGACTGTTAATGTTAAGGTATTTGTATAGTATATAGTAATTCTTTATTGAACATGATTTTGCAGGTGCTAAACTTTCTTCTTGAACATTTCTGCTTGAAGCTCTAAATAAAATATTATAGTTGCAAAACTAAATTTTTATATTTCCAAGCCAATTTTTTTTTTAACTTTATAGCTAACTATATGGTCTTATTGATGGCATATAGCTGTAAGCATCAGGGTTATGTGTACAAGCCGTAAAAGTTGATCTCAAAAACAACGAAAGAAAAAAAAATTTAGCAAAATGAATGTTGTCTGCAGTTAAGATTACCAACACTGAAAAAAAGAGTCTGTGGAGATCTGTAGTCTTCTGAACAGTAAAAAGTCCTATTATTTTGAAAATATTGAATTAAAAAAAAAATGCATTGCCGTCATATTGACTTTTATTTCACTGTACATACTAAGCATATATATATGTGTCTGTGTTTGTTGTTGATAGGTTATTTTAATGTTTATTTTATGCCTCAACAACTGTGTCATATGTTTCATTGCTCTACTGCTAATAATGACAGAATTATGTATAGAATTTCACAATTGCCTTTCTAAAGCTCTAATATGTTTAGAAAACTTAATTTTTGATAATATTTGTTGTGACAAAAATATTGTTCTGCTTTTGTTTGAAGAAACTGATGAAAATTTGAAAAATATAGTTCGTTTGATACACGACAATGGATACGTTATTTTTATCTTTCAGATTTTATATCCAGCAGCAAAGTGCAAAAGTGATAAATATTAGCTGCTATTCAGACTTATCTTTCCTCGGTTTTACCAGTCTTTTGTTGTTTCACTTTATCAATAAAAAACAAAAGAAATACATCAAATATTACTTTATGATGACAGTTCACAAATTTACTTCCTGAGTTTTTAGAATCTTTGGCACAAACTTATCTTTAACTTTTTGGCTTGAATTTACCATACATTCAGCTATCAACTGATAACAGCTAAAACTAGCAAAAAACTGTGAAAATGATCAGTGAAAGCTAAGAGCTACTTGAAGTTGGCTGAATCAAACTTTTTCTTCTACAAAAACTCTTGATCTATTGAGTTTACGATTCCTAGTGGGATAAAATATGAAAAACTATGTTGCTTCTACCAATCCCCTGTTACTTATTATAATAAAACTGTAACAAAACTGTAATCTGTAATTTAGGATATTACATGGCTACCTATTTCAAGCGTCTTGCGTAAAATTAAGCAGTTATATCATCCAGTATTTTAGGTATTTTTTACCTTTGCTAAGTGGTCAATCGCGGCTGAATGTTCACAAAAAATGTAGAAAGTTAAGCCTTTTGAATCATTTTGAAGGAAATTGGCATTCCCCCAAATCCAACGATTTTTTGTAATGCCTAGCCAATTTTGGACACTTGTGATCTACCCCGGGTTTTCAACCACTAAATCGTTCTAAATTTTTTAGGTCTTTTCATAAATAATGCCTTTTACGTCTGTTAGATTATGTCAATCTGCATGAATGATGGAAAACTTGTAAGTGAAATTTATTAATTAAGGGAGGACTACGAGAGTAAAATGCCTTTAGCAGAACTTCTTTTTCGAGGTTTTTAATTTTTCTTGCGTTGTTCAGCATTCACCTTTTGGTCAAGCAACAAAGGTATTTTTTTTAAAATTATCTGATTTTGATGAGAGTTTGCCTCTGTAGAAATAGAACTTCGCCTGAATTCTCCTGGATATGTTTTACTTAACGGTAGTCGCCCTGGTCAGGTTTTACCAACCGATTAGAAGGTTCAAATGTGTTTATTTGCTCTTTAGTTTTTTCATCGGTTCCTATACAGTGCATATTTTTTAGCAAAGGTAAAAGTTTGATAGAAATACTACTCAGCTTTGAAACCTTAAAGAAAACCTTTGGAAAGCCTAGTAAGTACTAATGGCTGCTTTTCGGTGAGTTGATACGGGGCTTATTTCTCAGCGTCTTCTTTTTCCTCAGTTTATGCTTGCGACATTAGTTGTTAAGTGCAGTGATATAAAAAGGTATTTTTCAGATCTTTTCAGACTATCTGGACGGGCAATTTCTTCTTAAAGGATTACTCTCTGTTTTGGCTTTGTTAAAATGTGAAACTTTTTATTTATTTGCTTGCTTTTCGAGATGTACAAAACGTATTTGCAGATCTTAGAAGCATCACAATGAGGAATGGGAATGTTTTATAAGCAAGGGTTGTTAAATTTTTAAAGTAAAAATATTGTTTTACAAGACTAAAGTATATAAAATTTACTGGATGGCCTACTTTTGCAAAAGTAGCTTAACTTTTTTTAATTAGGTATTTAGTTTTAAAACGCGTTTCTCTTTTCCTTTTCTGAATTTTTATCTGGTCTTTCGTTTTGAAAGTCTTAGCTGGAAAAATCTGGTTTTACAGATGTAAACATTTCTAATTTGTTTCTTGTAGATTTTGGATGAACAGTTTTATTTTTTGAAAGTATAGTCTCTTTTCTTCAAATAGGTAGGCACTCGTCAACCGTAAAAACTTAATGTTAATTATGGAAGATTTTTTGGCTTGCTTTCTGCTCATTATATAACGACACAGGCCGTTTGTCGGTCAACTGTTGAGAAAAGCCAAGCAATATGGATTATTTTAGAGCTACATTTCGCATATCCTTTCTGCTACTATGATTCAGAAAGGTAGGACTCGAAGAGGAAGAAAGAAACGTCGTTTAACGCCATTTCAGCGGTTCGCATTTCAGCATTTCTAACCACCTTATTTGAATTTAGCGACTAACTCTTTTTAGCAGTAAAGATTTGGAGAAATTGGAAGACATTTTCAAAACTTTTTGGATCTTTAATTTTAATTATCCTGTTTGTTTGTTGGGGGATAGTTTTTTACTTTTTGAAATTCTCTGAAAAAGTACCAAAGATGAACAATTGCTTTACAGCAGACTTAAAGAAAGAAAAATTGAAGTTTGTTTCTTGTTCCAGTTTTAAAAAAGTTTTGGTCAAGGGTTATACATTACAAGAATATTTCAACAATTTATTTGATATGACTGTTAACGATAAAGAGAAGGATCCTCACTTCTTCTGTTTATGCCATAAAGTTCATGTTTTGGTAAGCTAAACATTAAAAAACAACTTCAAGACCCTGAAATTTAGACATATTAAAACGTCTTGCGTATTGCTATTTCATTAATTTTTTAAAAGTTACTGAACAAATAAACAAATCGTCAGACCAAATTACACGGTTCAGTTTTATCCGCACCTAATGAACAATTATAAATATCCACTTCTTTTTACTTTATTTTTCAATTTTTATTTTAACGCAGATATTGTCAAAATTTCTTGGCATTTCTGCTGAACCACTGAAAAACTAATTAAATTTTAGTGTAGCTCTTTGTCCTAATTGATCTTTTTTAAAACTGTCACTGTTTGCTGATATTTGTTACAAGAAAGTTATAGCTTTTATAAGCAGAAATTTTTGATAATATCTTTTTGTCTTACAGTATGTTGGTAAAACTGAACTTTCCAGCCATTAACAAAAATATTTTTCCTGGTAGATCTGTCACTTTGGTGTACATTCTTTGTTGCCGAATATCCGCGAAGTTTTTTTGTAATATGGTTTCCGACGTATACAGCAGCTACCACAGCGATTGCACTGATGCATAAATCACCGGATTGGTTGTGGCCGCTACTGCCATGCACAGTAATTTACCTCAGTTTTATCTTCTATTTTTTACTAATTTTTTTTTCTTATCTCATTAATTTTCTTTTTTAAAACATCTTTTATGAGAGAAAAAAGGTATAGCCAGATTTAGCTAAACCGGTCTTTTTTTTTTGCTGCTTTTCTATTATAAAAGAACATCTCATTAGCTTATCTTACTCTTGTTTTTTCTTCGTAAAATTACTGGTCTTAATTGTTGACTTTGATTTTGTTCCAACAATTCTTTTATTTAACCAATTTCTTGTGTCCACTGACTCCCTAATGAGGTTTTAAAACTAACTGAAATGAACCTTGAGATTGATAACAACAATTTTTTACAGGCACTTCTTTTCTTGATAAATGCCGTTCCAACCCTGTTTCTTTTTTATGCCACGATTTTTGGGATAAAAAATGATCAAGGTTTTTTGCACCACGGTGAGCACTAATTTTTGTATAGATAACGTTTCCTGTACTGAGCCAAGTAGACCGTCGAAGACATTTATAATGTCGTGAAGTTTTCAGCAGAAAGAAGAATAAGAAAAACTTTATCTATGGAAATATTTAAGTTTAAATATGAGCCAAAAATTGCGAGTAAAAAAAGTTGCTATAAACAACTGGAATCTACTAATTGTCCACAATGTTACAGCAAACATTCAAAATTGGGGTATCGAAAGCCGCTATTACTTCGTTGCTGACGCCTTATCTGCGGTTCTGACTGTAGCACTTTTTTACAATTTTTACGTATTCATTTTATGTCGTAATTACTTTGAAAAGCTAAAGGTAGAGCAGTCAAAAAGGAGAAGACATCTAGGATTACGAGTACACTTTGCTGATCCGGGCGCATTGGTTACCACAATATATGATGAAACATATGAGGACCCTGCCACTGACTCAGAAGTTTTTGATGAAATGCAATCTTGTGATGATATATGTATAGAAGTTGAAAAAGTTGCTGCCGATGTCCGCGTAGACACTTTGTGACAATTACTATCCGGTGCTTTCATTAGAAGGAAACACCAACAATGACAAGTCAACAAATGATATAAGCCATAACAGTTTCGAAGCACTGCTTTTTTGAAATCCACTGTTTTAAAATTTGTTAGATATTAATAAGAGTGTACAGATTTATCTGCAGACGTTGTTTCAAGAAATGAACAAATAGCCTGTTGTTTTTATTTTACCTTGATATATATTTACTGGTTGTTTTTCTCGGTCTAAATTGGTTGCTGTTGTTAGTTGTTGAATATCTACTATAAGCTGACAAATGGAAACTAATATTAAAATAAACCTGGTTATCAGGTTATGCTGTAAGTTTTGTTGATTAACTAAAAAAATTTGAAACCCTTACCAGAAAGAAAATAATTGCTCACTGACGCTATTTGAACGAACCTTAGCATTTTTTTGCATATATGAGAAACAACAGTATGCAGTAAAAAAACGCGGATTAAAGTTGATAAAGAGCGAAGAATGCAACCAGTTCACATTTAGTTAAATTGTCAGATTAAATAAACGGGTTTCTTCCAAACATTTTGGAAAAATCAAGACACTGCATCGTGCAAAAAAGTCTTGCCTTAATGGTTTGAAATGAGCAAAAGCACTTATAAAGTGCTACGCAACTAACTTGCTTGAATCATTCCACCGCGAACTCACAAGTTGTGGCTCACAATCATCTATAGAATTTTAAGTTTTTTTGGCAATATTACTTCCCATACTGCGAAAATTTTGAAATTATTTCACAATAGTTTTTGTGCAAAGTTTTTTAGTAAAGGCATTATTTCCAACATTTGCACAAAATTCTTTAGCCGGTTTCCATTGATTAGAAAAAATTTTTTTGCAGCCACCATTACAAGAGGAGGAAAATTACATGATTAAAAGAAGTCGTTTAAAATCATTTAGCGTACCAGATTTTTTCTCATTAAAACATTCCAATTTACGAGGCAAAATTATTCAGATGGAGAATTTCTAGTGTTTTGAAACGTTTCAGGCGGAAATATGTTAGACCACCTTTAACATAGCAAAAATAATGAGGGGATTTTAAAGACGATTGCATGTTGCTGGTCGACGCATTACTTTTTTGTTCTTTGTATTACTAGCTGGGCATTCGTCGCTCATCAGTGGGAATTGCGGAAAAGATTCAAGCAGGTCTGCAATGAGGGCTTCTTATACTGAGAGGATCATTTCGTTGCACTTTCCTTGCCCTTTTCTTCGGTAATCTTAAGAACTTCGTTGTTAAAGAAATTACCAAAATGTGTTTTCCCTTTTACACTGAACTGATAGGTTCTTAATACTTTATTAGGAAAAATCTAAATTTAAGTAATTAAACTTGAAAAATAATAGTTTATTTATATACAAGTAAAAGTTGCTCGGTACAACTAAATAACACGAAACAGGAACGTACAATTATGTGATGGACTGGAGAAAAGAATAGTATTGGTGATGATGTTACAAAAAGGTAGGGAACAAAAATAAACCCATCTTTTATCCTTGACAGTGCCTATATAGAACCTATCTGAACAATTTCTAACGACAAAGCTTACCATATCTTTACCGTTGCTTCAATATTCGTGACTTGCAGCCATAAAACATCACATGAGTTTCTCTTATCAAAGAGAGATTGTAAAATGTTTTGTTTATTCATTTTTGTCTTAATATTAAGAGGATTTTGTTGGGGAGCAACTTAATGCCCTAATATACTTTCAATATTTATATGGTAATAAATCTTAAAATCTCCATTTGTACTTCTTCACGATGACCTCTATTGAATGCCAGCTTCCTCTCGACGGCATCCTCCCACTTTGATCCCTTTTGTGGCTGAATTTTTTTGCTGTTTTGGTGACAAGATCTTTTTGGCATAGAGAAGAAGACTTGGTGGTAGAAAAATTAACCGCGTGTTGAGACCCTCAAATTTTGCTTCGATTAAAAACATCTTGGAAAAAAATCCATAGAATGACTTCTTATACCGCTGAGATGCAAGATTTGCGCTGAAGGTGTAATTCGCCAATGAAACAGTCGCAAATCGCAGCATTTATGTTCATGCTCAAGAAGGAAAACTGAGAAATCCGATCCACTGCAAACAATATTTTTAGTAGATCGCTTGTGACATTGTCAGAATGAGAAGTTTGTTTTTCAAGCAATTTTTTGCATGCAAAGCTAGTTTAATATGGTTTTTGTTTTAGTCAATCTTGAGGTTTCAAGGCAGCACAAAAATCGTGAATAAATTTCTGGTCATACAATTATGGCTAATAAATCAGATAAAACGTCAAGATCTTTACAAAAAAATCTAAATTGTCATTTAAAAAGTAATTTTCTGTATCAGAGCTTAGGATTACGGATGGGACAGAGAAGTAGACTTCACAACTTTAGGAGGCGGAAAACTAGTTTTTAGAACATTGCAGATCATGAAGAACAAAGAAAATGCTCAAGGAAGCCGGTAGAAAGAGTGGAATGATACAAGAAAATTTTTTCATGAATAAAATAAAAAGTGCTTTTGCTATCCTATCTATTGTATAGTTTTACTACATGAAGTTACTTTCTTTCTTCTTCTTCCCTCAGTTCTTTATTTCAACCATTTCAGAGTTTCGTTAACCCAAGATGCCCTTCAGTGAGTGACCCATATTGTTCAGTTATTGGTCATGTTGATGATCTTAACTTGTGTTGTAAAAATGACTCTGAGGTACAAGATATTCTTTATGTTGGTCGTACTGAAGACTGGTGGTTTCGTGTGCAGATTTTATTCCTTCACTCTCTCCATCTAGCTGTCTGAATTTTGGCAACTTTTATGTAGATCCTCTTGGATTTTTGCTAAAAACATCCAGATTTACCTGAGCAGAATTCTTCAATGCATTACATGAATGACAAAAACGACTTTCTGTAAAGATAGAGGGGTTGAAAAGTATACATTTGCTGGAATTTTGAAAAAGAATGATGTAAAATGCATAGACTTTTCAGAAGATTACTAGAAATGGTTTGAATGCACAAATTAAGGGAAAAAATAGGTGTTCGCGAATGCAATTATTCTGAACTTATCAAGTAACGTTTATAAAAAAAAATAAAAGAAACATTTTTTGGATTTTGGGGCTGGGCTTATACCAGAAATCGGGAATTCCAGTGCTGTCGACTATACAGTTGAACACCTTAGGTCGAACTCCAAGGAAATATGAGTTCTGTAACTTATTTACGAAAATGTTTTGAGCATTGGACACAGCAGAGAGCTCTACAAAACACGTGTTTAACTGTAGTAATAAGAATGAATCAAAGATTCTGCAACTTATAATTTGCAAAATTTACTGCATTGGAAGAACAGTGAAAAAGAAGCTGAAAAAAAGTTTTGGTTATAAAGAAAAGCAACTGATAAGGTGCTGCCAGTATTTTACACCTTTACAACTGATAGGTATTTGTGCTATCAATTTTTTGCGTTTCTGTGTTGTCGTAACAAACATTCTGTTTAACGAAATTTGCTATAGCAAGTTGACAATGAAATTGAAATACTCCCGACTGTTTTGGCCAAATAATCATGAATTCGAAAAGTTGTTTTGCTTTTAAATTGCCTATTGATTCAAATATTCGAAACTAATTTTTGATTTGCTTTTTTTTTTCTCTGTTCCTGTAAAACCACAATGCGAAAAAGTTTTGTGTTAAACAGCATTTGAAACGTACTGTTTTCACCAGTAACTTTTGAATATTGTATCTTAATGATCGACGCTTACTGAAGCTATTTTATTTGAAAACAAAACTTTTTTTAGATTAATAATATTTTTAGGTGAAAGTGGGAGTTTTATACAAAAGTTTAGTGTATCTTATTTTGTAGGTATGATGAAAATTCTGAACACAGTATTGTCGCTTTTTATAGGCAATTGAAAAACGGTAATGAAGGAGATGCACGGTTCAATCTGTCAACAATTTTTTTCTTTTGTAGAAAAAAAACTATAATTTTTTTTTTTACACAGATTTTATAACGATTGAACAGTTTCAGTGTACGTGAAGTTTAGCAGGCAACAGAATATGTACATTTTTTGATGTGCCGATTCACTGAAAAAAATTCTCGCAGTTATTATGAAAAGTCTTCTGGATTCAGGCTGTCGAAGAATATATTTACATGTTCTCAAACAGCACAGTTTCAAGAAGTATAATTTGGATTCTGACAACCTGCTCAAATCTATGAAGATAAATTTGTGAAGCAAATAAAATTTTTGCTGAAGAATGCACAGCAATCAAACTAACGTTGTCATCGGTAAACGTCAAAATTGTAGAACAGTTAAAAAAAAAAAAAATTTTAATGCCTTTTCGGTAAAAGTTTTTGCTCAGCATTTTTTGTCTCTCTAAACTACGGTTTCATAAGCCATTTAATCACCTTTTTTGCACCTACACTTTAGAAAAGGTTCAACAGGAAAAAAAGATGAAATAAATTTATATTTTTCCTGTATTTTTCATTCCATTTCTGTTTTGGAAATCCATTTTTACTATTTTCTTTTTTTTGGAGAGTTTTTTTTACAAGTAAAATTTCCTAAATCTTTGGCAGTTGTTCGATTAAAACTGGAGGATTGGTTTTTTAAAGTTATTTTTGAAAACTAAGTACTCGAGTGCATTATTTCACAGTATACAACCGGTTCAGAAGTTTATTTCCGAAACTTTCCAAAACAGTCAGCTGCAGAAGCCTCTAACACAAAAAGCAGTTTTTTATTCACACTTTTCTGCTGTATAACAGTTTTATGTGCAAGGATATCAGAAGTTTGCTGAAAAGAATAGCTGAAGCAAAAAAAAAAAAGAAGAGTACTACTAAGGGAATTACCTTAAATTGCCTAATGGCATATTCATCTGTATTTAGCAAGACAATAAGCTGTTGTTTACCAACACAACGATTGCAAGAAGAAGAACTGCAGAGAATTGACAACGTTATACCACACATTAGAGTAAACCAGGCATTAGATTAAAGACTAGACTAGAAACTAGATTTATTCAGCAGAAACTACGTAACTAAACACTATAATGCCAACACTTTAATGACTATCGCATGTTTAACGACTACAGCGTTTGTTTGGAATCAAAAAAGAGCATAGTTTATGAGATTACAATTTTTTGTTGATTTTGAAGAATCTATCTTGGTTTTTTTTTCTAGCTGCGATTTAGTATTATTGCTTTATAAAAGTCGGTCAAATAATTAGTATATTTTTTAAACTGGCCATTTTTTAAAGAAAGCAATCATTTTTAGCACTTATTTGTCTCTTTTCAAATGTTTTCTTGTTAACCAAATTATTTTGAGAAAAAATCAGTAGATTTGACTTTTCTTCTGGGCTTTTAGAGGGCTTATGATTGAATAGAGTAATAAGTGATAATTTATTTTTGAAGAATTATAGTTTGTGCTTATTCTACTTTCTATTTCACAAACTGTCTGTATAAAAGTTGCTAATACACTTCATGTCACCATTAGCGTTTCAGTTGTAAAAGTCGGTTTATTGTCATTTTGTGACTGCTGCTGTTAGAACTGTTGTATCCTGAAAAATACAAATATCATTCCTTGTTACTTCATTTGAACATCGAATGTTATACAGCACTTATTGCGATCTCTATCCTGCAAAAAATCTTACTGAGGAAGAGTTAAAGTTATTATTATTTGACGCATTATTTTGTTCTTCTGAAAAGATCCCAATTTTAACGGCTTATTTGTGAGGGGTTTCAAATAAAAAACTGTTATCAATTCATTTTGCATTTTTCCTTCGGCTTCAAATGTGCGTTTTTTGCTAGAACAAATTTTAGAATCCTCACTCGTTTACCAAACAACTGTCTTTGCAAAACTCTGTCATATTCTTAGTAAAGTTGCAATTGTTGGTAATGTTTGTTTTTTTCATGTTTCAGAATGGTAATTTATTCGCAAAATGGATAGAGTTTGCAGGCGACGATGAAGATTGTAAGTAGTTTTTTATGTTATACGTGAAGAACACTGACATGAAGTATAGGTATTTTCTGTGAGCTGTTGAATTTTGGGAGGAGCCATACAGTTCGTGTAATACAGTTTATAAAAGCAGAAATACATCGTTTTTACACTGTTGTTATTACCATCGTCTGTAGTTCCATCCTGCGTGAATTTTGCCAACAGTTGGGTCAACGGAATTAATGAAATTTTTGCTGTATCAATAACGTTGCCATTCTTTGCAGTTTTCAAAACCTATATGCAGTGATGCGGATATAAATTTTTCAAAAAGCTTCGAGTTTCCATAGAGATTTATGCAATATGTTCTTCGCAGTTAATTTTGTTATTCTTTTCATTTGTTGCATTTCATATTGTTCTAAAAACCAATTTTTTAATATAGTTTACCTAAAAGTATGTTGTAGAAAATTAAAAACAGTTTTTTCGTATATTGGAAAATTTCTTTTGCACGCAAGATTGACGTGATGGATTATTGCGGAAATTAACTTACTGGTAAAACATACTTTTTACATCATCAAATTTGCAATCTTAGCTGCAGAGAATATTTGAAAATAGTGGTCATTGAAGAGCTTTTAGTACAAAACTCATCTTTTTTTCAATGTTATTTTACTGCTTCTAAATAAATTCTAAAATTTCTTCTTTTTTTTTTTGTATTTTGTGCAGCACAAACCATAGAGTGCACTAAAAATTTTAACTTTTTCGAATAGCTAATTGAAAATTATCGTTTACTTATAGCCTTTGATTTGTCAACTATTGCCTTTTTTTGTCTTTGAGCTATACAAAACTGCTGATCTTTAAGTCGGACGGCAGTTCAGCATTATTCTGAAAAACATAAATTTTGATTCTCCTTAAAGGCTATAAAATTTAGTAACATTTAAAAAATTGAGCAAAACTAGCAAACAGAATTTTATCACGGCGACTTCAAGGAAAAAAAGTGTTGTAAAAACTGTAGTTATAATAATATTTAATCAAAAATTGTTTATTCTCATTTGAACATGGCTGCATTTATCTTTATTCAAATGGAAAGAATTCAGAAAGTTGCAAAAAATAAATGAAACGTGGTTTTCTACTGAGGAAATAAGACGCATAAAGTACAATGAAGTAGTTGAACTTTACGGTGGCAATAAACTTTGGTGAATAATACAGAAAAAAAAGAAAAATTTTTGCTGATGCTCCAAAGTTTGGCTTATTTTATGGAAGGAACGTACGTTGTTTGTTCAGGCCAAATATTTTGGAACACTTTGCAATTTTGATTTACTTATTTATTTATTTTTTTGCAGAAACATTGCTGTTTTTCGGATAGTTTTTCCAACGTGTACGACAACTGAAGTGTGCTGTTGAATTACTCATACCCATTTTGCACTTTTCTACTTAAAAAAACACCATTTTTTTTTTCTTCTCAACATCTCTATGAACTCCACCAATTATCAGAAAGTTTTTTAACAAATTTTCCAGCTATATTCCAGGTCAACCTTCAAAAAAACCTGTTGTAAACATATAAAATCAAAAACTGTGGGCAACGCTAGTTATATTACCAATTTTTTCAGCAAATATTAACAGAAAATCTATCTTCCTTCTCCAGTGGTGATGATAGTTAATGTTAAATGCAGAGCTGAAATTTGGATGAGAACAGTTGCTTACTACCTCGCGTCACTGCACCTGGCAGCTTTAACCTTTGAAGACTATAATTATTCCTAATTTTAATTTTCTTTCGTTATTATTTTTTTCATTGTGAAGTGAGCAATAAATTCAAAAGGTACGAGAAAGAACTGTGGACAGAAGGAGTAGGAAAAAAAGAAATAGGGAAGGGAAAAGAATGGTCTTCTATGATACGTCCTGAGTTTTTATCGTTTATGTTCTCTTTTAACTAAGACAGTTTTTTAGGATAGAAATGTATTGGCTTGAGCAGCACAAAATTTTGCAAACAAAAAAATTTATCTTTTTATACCAATCACATTCTTTTACGGTTTTAATTTTTAGCTTTGAAACGTTTGTTTGAAATGTTGTTCCTGTTCTTGTCATTAATGTGTGATACCGCGTAATCTTAGGTTTTTTTATTCGTGTTTTTTTCAATAATTTCTGCGACTTTTATAGCCTCCCCTACTAAAATTTTTTTTCTGAGAGTTTTATAATT